ATGGCCGTGACCCAGGAGGCGGAGTTTGCAGTGAGCTGGGACTGTGCCACTGCACTCCAGCCTGGGCGACAGAGCGAGACTCTGTCTCAAAAAATAAATAAATAAAAATAAAAATAAAAAATAAAAAAATTAGCCGGGTGTGGTGGTGCATGCCTATAGTCCCAGCTACTCGGGAGGCTGAGACAGGAGAATCTCTTGAACCTAGGAGGCAGAGGCTGCAGTTAGCCAAGATTGTGCCACTGTACTCCAGCCTAGGCAACAGAGCAAGATCTTGTCTCCAAAAATAAAAAAACAAAGCTTGCTTAGTCAGTTCACATAAAGATTTTCAAGGCAAGGTGCGATGGCTCATACTTGTAATTCCAGCACTTTGGGAGGCTTAGGCAGGAGGATCACTGGAGCCCAAGAATACTAGGTTTCTTACAATTCTGAGCATTTGAGTTGGGCAGAGCTAGTGTGTTGTCCAGGAGGGCTAACTGGGAGTACCTAACGCATCCATGTGGACACATGTCATCTTGACGAGGAATTCATTAATAGCATTACTCTGTGGCAGAGGCAGGCCATGGAGAAATGGTACAGGACAGGCACATTTCAAGGGCACTGGAAAGAGCCTGGAGTTTAGAACATTTTAAACATTGGGTACCTGGGAAAGGACAGTCAAGGGCAGTGAAAGGAAACATTTTGTTCTATTATCTGGGGCCACCTCTGGGTTCAGAGAACAAACCAAACAGTATGCCTCAGAATGGCGGATAGGTGGCCCAGGAGACTTCCGGGGGAGCCCTCTACCCTACCCTTCCTTCAACGAGTACATCTCTTTTTCTCTTACTCACTCTCGCACTCTGTCCTTAGAATACCTGTTCCCTCGAAATACCCCATGACTGAAACACAGTGCTTTATTTTTAATGTTTAGAACAACAACAATATTTAAAGCCAGCTTCCTCCCTCTGTCTGTCCCTCCCCCACCTTGCACCCCCCATCCCTCTCTCTCTCTCTCTTTCTCTTTCTTGACAGGGTCTCACTGTGTTACCTGCCACTCTGTCTGGAGTGCAGAGTGTGATCATAGCCCACTGTAGCCTCAGACCTAGGCTCAAGTGATCCTCCCACCTCAGCCTCTTGGGTAACTGGGACTATAGGCACGTGCCACCATACCTGGCTAAATTTTTAAAATGTATTGTAGAGATGAGGTTTCCCTATGTTGCTCAGGCTGGTCTCAAACTCCTGGGCTCAAGTGATCCTCCTGCCTTGGTCTCCCAAAGCATGGGGGTTACAGGTGTGAGCTACCACGCCCAGCCCCCATTTTCTTTCTTGATAATAAGGCCATATTTTATGATCTGAGATGTTTCCTCTTTTCCCCACCCCTATTCCCATCCTTACCTATCCTACCATTTAGCATCTTTTGAGCTGGAATCTGAAGGCAGGGCAGGAAAGATAAATGATAAAATCTATACTTTCTTCCTTTGAAAGCAAGAGGCCTGTCTCTACCCTAAAATTAAATGTGTCTGTTCTGTGTCCCCAGGCCATACAGGCACGCATGGTGGGCATTTAGTTCTCCTCAGAGGCAGGGAAGTGTAGTTGGAGAAGCATGCGGGTGGGGCAGCTGCTTCATTCTGGGTGCCTGTGTCCACCAGGCCACCAGGTGACCTCAGAGAGAAAGGGCAGTAAATTTCGGGACCCTGGAGTTGCTCAGGCCGTGTTAATTCTCTTCCCCTTCCTTGAGTTTAGTTCTTTTTTTGTTCTGTAGCATAAACTTAGCAGTCCTTACGCAGTGGTGAAGAAGAATAGAACAGTCCAGAAAAGGGCCGTCTCTCCTGAGTCTGTTTTTCCTCTTCCACAGGAAGCTAAAAACACTCTCTGCCTGATACAGAACAAGCTCAAGGAGGAAGAGAAGCGCCTGCTGAAGAGTGGAAGTAAGGCTGGGCTTTGTAGATGAGCAGTTTACTCTGGACTAGCATTTTCAGCCTTGAGATATATGTGTGTGTGTGTGTGTGTGTGTATATATATATATATATTTAAATATGTGTTTTCTTCAGCAGTTTTTTTTTTTTACTGTAATAAGAACACTTCACTTTACATCTTCAATTTTGAAAAGTATAATAAAATATTGTTGACTATAGGTACAAAAATATTTTCAAAAGGCAGTTTTCTCACAACTTCTATTTTGTGTACCATTGTATTCACTCAAGAGTCTGGTTTAAATATAGCATTTAAAACACATTTCATTCTTGTGCCAGTTAAGATAGTGTTTTCCCCTGTTTAAATTATAGTTTGAATTATATATGATGTGTAACTGTAAGAAAAGGTAGTCCTAGAGGTGTGTAGGGTTCTGTATTTTCAGGCTGACTGATGGAAAACAAGCATTGGGATGCAGTGCAGGGAGAGGGGCCACTCGCTTCATGATGGTCCCCATGCCGCTGAGATGCCCCCCATAATCCAGAATGGCTCAGCAAGACACTCAGCTGGAGAGACACAGGGTTACGTCCATACAAGGCCGAGATTCCAGGAAGGAGCTCTGTGTGACCAGGCAGCTTCCCTTATCCCTGAACTTCAGTGTCAAGTCACTGTCAGGGATCAGTAGCAGCCCAGGGATCTTCCTGCTGAATCAACAGCCTTCTTGCACAGAGTTCCTCCTCCTCTTGCTGATTGCTTTTTTTTTCTTCATGGCGAAATATTCTGTTTGATCTCATGTTGAGGGCAGCGTACTCTCTCTCTCTTTCTCTTTCTTTGCCATTTCCCTTGTATCTCTCTCATTTTGCACCTGTTCTATGACTCTGTCGTCTGAATCTCAGGAAACCCTGGAGGAAGGATAGGGACTGCTGGGAAGTCCTCCAGGAACAAGGTTAGGAAATTTGAAGGGCATGTCTAGCCAAAGCAGCCCTCCCCTTTTTATTTCCATGTCAGCCAGGAGCATGAGAAGCAGCCCTCAGTGATCAGCCTGCATGAGGTTTGTCCCTTGCGAGAGGCCCGACTCAGGTAGGAGCCCTTGTTGGTTACTTGCATCCCATTCTGTCCCTGGGCCAGGATGCTAAGACCTGTCATGCTGATCTTGCTTTATTCACCAAGATTTACCTCTGTGTTTTCTTCTAGGAGTTCTGTAGTTTTAGCTCTTACATTTAGGTCTCTGATCCACTTTGAGTTAATTTTTATATATGGTGTGAGACAGGGGGTCCAACTTCATTCTTTTGCATGTGGCTGTTCAGTCATCCTATTATCATCTGTTGAAAAGACTATTATTTCTCCATTGAATTATACTGGCATGTGGTCAGCCATACTTAATTTTAATTGTCACTGTCAGCTCAGTGGTTTCAGTGTCAGCATGCATTAATGTCTTAGTCGGTTTTGTGCTGCTATAACAGAATACCTGAGACTGGGTAATTATATATTTTACATAAAATATATACAGCATTATATATATGGATACATGCAGTCATCCCTCAATATCTGTGGAGAACTGGTACCAGAACCCACCTGTGGATACCAAAATCCACAGGTGTTCAAGTCTTTTGCATATAACCTATGCACATCCTCCTGTATACTTTAAATCATCTCTAGGTTACATAAAATACCTAACATAATGCCTATATATCACTTCATTCACATGGATTCAGCATAGTACTTGGCATGTGGCAAATTCAAGTTTCGCTTTTTGGAACTTTGTAGATTTTTTTTTTTCCAAATAATTGTAGTTTTTTTTCCAAATAATTCAGATCCATGGTTGGCTGAACCCATGGATGTGAAATCCATGGATACAGAGGGCTAGTTTTGTATGTGTCTGTATGTGTGTGTGTTTATATATATATGACATATATATAATATATAATATATGACATATATATAATATATAATATATGACACATAATATGGCATATACTGCCATACATAACATATGACAATTATATAACATATAATATATTAGTATTAGTTTATATTATTATCATTATAAACAGAAATTTACTTGTCTGAAACTTAATGAGCCACAGTTCTGGGGGCAAGTCCAAGATCAAGGAGTTGCGTCTTGCTGCACCGTCCCGTGACAGAAGGGCAGAGAAAGGGGGAGAGAGAGCAAGAGATGAAACCCACAGCCTCAAGCCCTTTTATAACCAGCATTAGTGTGTTCTTCAGGACGGAGCCCTCGTGACCTAAACACCTCTCAATCTGCCCCACCTCCCAACACTGTTGCATTGGGATTTAAGTTTCCAACGCGTGCTTTTCAGAGACACATTGAAATCATATGATAGCAATTGACTTTAGTTTACCTGCTTACTTCTCAAGTCTGTATTGGTTTGAGTTATAAGAAGAAATTTTATTGAGCCTGAGGTACATGTATTAATTTTATTTTAAAATTGATTATATAATTTGATTTGCATTGCATGGGATAAGGATTTAATGTCTTAATTTCCTGGATGGCATAAGAAATGAACTAAGCTGAATAGTGGTTTCATTTTGTAGTCATTAATTGATGTTAATATTTAATAATATTCTCTGTAAAGACTTTCAGAAGGTTTCAAAGTAATTGTGTCGAAGCCCGGGATGTTGTTATTGACACTTTCTCCAGCTCCTAGGTTGGCCCTTCCTGTACTATAAAGCACAGCTCTTCTCTCCATGGCTAAAGAAAGCAGAAAACCTTCCCACAGTGCCCAGCTAGATACTGTTACCATTTCATTACTCTCTCTTTTTTTGAGACGGAGTCTCACTCTGCTGCCCAGGGTGGAGGGCAGTGGTGTGATGTCGGCTTACTGCAACCTCCACCTCCCGAGTTCAAGCAATTCTCATGCCTCAGCCTCCTTAATAGCTGGGACTACAGGTGCGCACCACCACGCCTGACTAGTTTTTGTATTTTTAGTACAGACAGGGTTTCATCATGCTGGCCAGGCTGGTCTCAAACTCCTAACCTCAGGTGATCTGCCCACCTCAGCCTCCCAAAGTGCTAGGATTACAGGCATGAGCCACTGTGCCCGGCCACATTACCCTCTTATAGTAGGGGTATAGCAAAGCCTTTGGGCAGACTAACAATTACTGTTCTTCCAAACTAACTTCTGAGTCAATCATCAGAACAGGGTCCTCCAAGTCCGTCCTTACAAAACCTGTGTGGCTCCCTGGGTGCAGAGAAGTCAGGTGCCAGGCAGTGAAAGGTCTTTCTCCCCACAGTGGAGACTCCTTCTATAAATATTCAGCCTATAGGTGTAAGACTCCAAAGAATGTATTTAAGAAATTAATAGGCCGGGCGCGGTGGCTCAAGCCTGTAATCCCAGCACTTGGGGAGGCCGAGACGGGTGGATCACGAGGTCAGGAGATCGAGACCATCCTGACTAACACGGTGAAACCCCGTCTCTACTAAAAATACAAAAAACTAGCCGGGCGAGGTGGCGGGCGCCTGTAGTCCCAGCTACTCGGGAGGCTGAGGCAAGAGAATGGCGTGAACCCGGGAGGCGGAGCTTGCAGTGAGCTGAGATCCGGCCACCGCACTCCAGCGTGGGCGACAGAGTAAGACTCCGTCTCAAAAAAAAAAAAAAAAAAAAATTACTTTGGAAAAAATCTATCTTTGTGATGGGATTTTCCCCAGGGGAGAACATCACATCACCAGTTTTCACTGCCAGTCACTAAGATCATCGTTCTCCTCAGGGCAGCCCCATTCGTGCCATTCCTAGCCTGGCCTCCCTGCCTCCAGTCTTGCTGTGTTACCTTATTAGCAGCCTCCACTTCCTCATCTTTGTCATGATCTAGGAACTTGAGTTCTGGTAACGCAGCCTAACATTAGTCAGAGAATGGGTTTTTCCCTGAACTAACCAAGCACTTGACAGCTGGCTATTCAGTTTTTAAATTTTCAGATTTTCTTCAAGGGCTTCAACACAATTAATTTGAAAACTATCTTCCAAAAGTCTTTGCAGAGAATATGTAAACACTTCACTGCTTGGCACCTGATTTCTCTGCACCCAGGGAGCCATGCAAGTTTTAGAAGGATGGAATTGGAGGCGTTTGCGTCGCTGTTCTGATGACTGTAATAGTGTTTCTAACTAATATATCCGACCCACTTTTTCCTTGCTTTGGAAAATTATTTTTTTTTAAAAAACAGCATATCATTGTCCACATTAATTCTTCACTATGCATCTACAGGCAAATCCAGAGAGTCTTATAAAATCTAATGCATCCAGAGAAAGGCTAATGCACGCAAACCTTACTGGGCAGAGCTGTTCAGTTGTGATGATGAAGCCACTCCTTTGTTTTGCCTGCTTGTGTTCCTGCCAGGTAACGATGACTTGGACATAGACATCCAGGAGGATGACGAATCCGACAGTGACTTGGAAGAAAGGCGGCTGCCCAAGCCGCGGACAGCCATGGAGGTGCTCATGCAAGGTACCCCCGCATCTTTCGCTGGCCTTCCTCCCTGTGCCCCATTTCACAGAACACCTGGCCAGGACTGGGGCAGGCTGCTTAGTGTTGAGGCCCACAAGCGCACTGTGAGTGGCCCCTGGAAGCAGCTCTTGCTCAGGTTTATCCTGTCCTGTTGTTTATGGCTCTTGAACTGTTCAGTGGTCATGTTTGCTCCTAATATTCTTTCTTGTCTGTGATCCCAAGACTGGATGGTTCATATTTATGGCTTGGTATTTCTCACAGAGCCACAAGGACACATTGCCTCTGCCACTGTCAGTGCAATGATATACCTAATAGCCTGAGAATTAATGCAGAAAGGGACTTAAATGAGCATCTCTGCCTTAAAAAAAATGTTTTTCTAATTCCTTTACTCATCACAAAAGATTCAAGTAACAAAGCTCAGCGCAGTCACGCATGCCTTATTCCCAGCTACTCAGGAGGCTGAGGCCGGGGGATCGTTTGAGCCCAGGAGCTCGGAGCTGCAGTGTGTGATGATTGTGTCTGGCAATAGCCACTGCACAGTGGCCTGGCGACATAGAGGGGCTCTTAAAACTAAGTTAAAACATAAAAAGACTCAGGCAACAACATTTGTAGAGCGAATGTGAATGCTGCCCTAGGGTCTTCCTCATGTCCCACTCCCACCTGGGAGGGCTCATGGCTAGTGGCCAGGGTGGGTGTGTCTTTACAGATTACCTTTCTGTACATATACATATGCACACACATGCACACTCACACGCACACACATACACACACAAAGATCACCTGAAAAATTTAACCTGAGTGCAACCAGACGGTATGTATGGTTCTGCAACTTGCTTTTGTTTTTAAAAATTAAATACAATTGGAAATCTTCTTTTGTCAGTAATAGATCTGCCCCCTACTTTTTTTTTTTTTTTTTTTTTTTTTGAGACAAAGTCTCGCTCTTGGTCCCCAGGCTGGAGTGCAATGTCATGATCTTGGCTCACTGCAACCTCCGCCTCCCGGAGAGAGCGATTCTCCTATAATCCGGAGTAGCTGGGATTACAGGCCTGCACCACCACACCCAGCTAGTTTTTGTATTTTTAGTAGAGATGGGTTTTCACCATGTTGGCCAGGCTGGTCTGAGGTGATCCACCCATCTCGGCCTTCCAAAGTGCTGGGATTACAGGCTTGAGCCACCACGCCCGGCCATGTCTGCCTATCTTTAGGTTGCATCATTGAAAGTCAAATTCTTAAGTCTAAGGTTCTGCAAATTTTTGATTTAATACTACAAAATTCTCCTATATTTGCCTTTAAAAACATTTCTTATCTACCACCTGTTAATGTTTGGAGCACTGTTACTTTTTTTTTTTTTTTGAGACAGAGTCTCATTCTGTTGTTCAGACTAGAGTGCAGAGGCACAGTCTCAGCTCACTGCAACCTCTGCCTCATTGTTTCAAGCGAATCTCCTGCCTCAGCCTCCCAAGTAGCTGAGACTACAGGTGTGAACCACCATACCTGACTAATTTTTTTAAAAAATTTTTGTAGAGATGAGGTTTCATCATGTTGCCCAGGCTGGCCTCAAACTCCTGGCCTCCTGTCTCAGCCTCCCAAAGTACTGGGATTATACGCATGAGCCAACATGCCTGGTCAGAAAACAAATCTTGAATGCTATTTCCTGCTTTATTTTCCAAGATCTTTATGACTTCTTCATGCTTTTGTTATTCTCAGGAAGACCCGGCAAACGCATTGTGGGCACGATGCAAGGTGGAGACTCCGATGACAATGTAAGTCCCCTGCTCCCCTCAGCGGTTCTGTGTGCTCTGGGCTTGGCTGTCCCATAGATGGGAGTGGCTGAGTTGCTGCCAGCAGCCAGGGAGCCGTCTGTGGTCAGTCCAGCTATGCCTCGATGCATGGCAAGGTTTGGCCTCATGAGGCTCTGGACTCTTCCTTGCTCGTGGATGGTTCATTTCTTTTCAAGTGAATGTGCTTGCTCTGCTTTTTTCGCCTTCTCACTGTTCTTTCCATTCTCGCTTTCCAAAGATGGAAGCAGCACCAGCTCTCTTAGGTAAATGCAAGACTTCCAACTCCAAGAAGCAGGTTGGTTTTCTGTTCTGCCTCATGTGTTTGTGGGTGTCTGTCAGCCCTTCCAGGGCCAGCCAGGGGCCTCTCCCTAGGAGTGCTGCTTCCTCTCTCCTGGGCAGAAAGCCACTCAAAAGGGATCCCATGGTGACAGCGGGATCACTGAAGGCCCTTATGCTAAAGAGGAGGCGCAAGCACTGAGCCTGGAGATGGGGAAAGCTCAGGCTGGCAGTCCTCAGGCCCTGGGCCGTAACCTAGAAATGAAGGAGGACGCCGAGGGCTGGGCACAGGACCAGCCCTCCTCCCTGCTCTGTGCTGGGGAAGGAATGGTGAAGCAGCACTGTCCCCAGACCAGGCCTCTGGGGTGCTAGGCATGAGGCTGAGACATCAGGCTGCCTTGAGCTTTACTGAGTGGATAACTCCCTGGAGCACTTAACCAAAAGGGGAGTCTGGGGGACCTTGGTGGGATCCGGTCATCAGGGCTCTGCTGGGCATTACTCAAGTCTGCGTTCTTTGTTGCATCCCTGGCAGTGCTGCTCAGCCCACACAGCGAAGGGCGACTAGACAGAGACTGACCCCAGGCTGCCTCCATTGGTGGATACACCTGTGTCTGTGGCATGGCGCTAGTGGCTGCACAGAGACAGAAACAGGGCCTTGCGTTCTTGCACACAGATTCACGCATCCGCAGCCTGTGCTGCTGCGGAATTCACAGTGGGGAGAGGCCGCTCAGGCTTGCCGGCAGGAGGCACAGAGATCAGGCCTTGAATTCATAGGGCACGGTCTGTAGAGAAGCAGAGAGAGCAACTAGAATATAATTTTCTTAACAAGCTCGGGCGTGGTTGGTAAATAGCTTCTCTCTGTCTTGCCCATCCAAGAGAGAAGCAGAGGGAGTGTGGCATGGGGATGCTGGAGCAGCACCGCCCATCTCTTCTCCAAGGTGTGCCTTCTCTCAGAGCGAATGCATTAGTCGCAGCTGAGCATTATGCCTGGTGCTCACTTGTTTATTTCAAGGAGGCTGTGTCCATGCAGCCCTCCAGGCACAGGGTTCCGTGCTTTACGTGTTCAGGCATCCAACACGTGTCTGTTGAGTGCCTGCCACATGCCAGTGCTGTCATGGATTATGGGGAACGCAGCAGGGGGCAGAGACAAGCCCCCAGCAATAATGATGGAGCGGCGGATCCAAGGCTCATGGTGTTAACGGAAGGAATAACAGCTTCAGGGGACAGGGAGTGACAGGGAACAAGGAGGGGGTGGCATATTCCACGAGCTCAGCAAAGGGCTCTGACGTGGTGGTGTTTGAGCAGGGCCTGAGTGGAGGGAGCGAGTCCGTGGGTTGGCGGCACCTGGGCATGTGGAATGTGCTCCTCACGTTGAGGAGCAGAGGCAGCTGGTATGACTGTGGGTGAGCGTGAGAGGCAGCAGGGGCCATGCAAAGCCTTGCAGGGTGAGATGAGACTCTGTTCTCTGAGTGTGATGGGGAGACTGGAGAATCATGAGCCCGGAAGGGTCAAGAGCTGACACCCATTTGAGAGAAGTCAGTCAGGAGGCGCCTGCACCCGTGGAGGTCAGAGGTGATGGTGCTTGGCCGAAGGTGTGGCAGCAGAGGTGTTGAGAAGTGGTCAGGTCCTGGGTCTGTCTCTAAGAACCATCAGGTTTTGTGAATTGATTGGACACAGGCTGTTAGAGAAAGAGAGAAATGAGGGTGCCTGGGCGGGGTCTAATCAGCAGAAAGCAGAGTTTCATTTTCTGAGATGGGGCCGACTTGACAAAGGGGCTTGGAGGGCAGATCGAAAGTTTGGTTTTGGACATTCTGAATGTGACAGCCACATGCTAGGGTTGAGTAGTCAGGTGGAACTTAAGTCTGGAGTTCAAGAGCCAGGTCTGGGCTAGATATTGAATTTTGGGAGCCACTCTTACTTGGTTGATACCTAAGCCACAAGGATAGATGTGACTGCCTAGGGCGAGCAAGTAGAACGAGAAGAGAGGTGACCCAAGGTCCTGCGTGCACCTGCCCTGCAGAGGTCAGGGAGGAAGGGGCAGGCAGGGGAGGCTGGGGGGCGTCAGCAGTGAGGGAGGGGGACCTGGACTAGAGAAGGGGCCCTGGGGGATGGAGAAGATGGGTTTTAAGGATGAAGGGGTGATTCCACAGCCCAAGCAGAATGAGGCCTGAGAATCAATCCTAATCCATTGCGTGTTTCCGTCGTGATAGGAGCAGTGCTGGGGTCAGTGGGTGAGAGTCCGGGGGAACTGAAGCATTCGTGAGGGGCAGAGGTGCAGACAGTGAGTTCAACGACTCGCTCAGGAGCTCTGTGTGAGGGGAGAGAGACAGGGCAGAGCAGCTGGAGAGGAAAATGGGATTACGTTTGGGTTTTTTTTCCAAGAAGGAAATTACAGCATTTGTGTGCACCGATGGGAATGATCTAGATAGAACGACCAGCCATCCTGGTTTACATGGGACGCAGGACTTGCCGTTTTAAAGCTGGGCTGAGTTGTTGCCCTGGATCTGATGAGGAGGGAGAAGGTGTGTCTTTCACTTTGCTCCCTTTCTTTTTTTTTTTTTTTTGAGACGGAGTCTTGATCTGGAGTGCAGTGGTACAATCTCGGCTCACTGCACCTCCGTCTCCCAGGTTTTTTTTTTTTTTTTTTTGAGACGGAGTCTTGATCTGGAGTGCAGTGGTACAATCTCGGCTCACTGCACCTCCGTCTCCCAGGTTCAAGCAGTTCTCTTGCCTCAGCCTTCTGAGTAGCTGGGATTCACTTCACTCCTTATACCCATGCCTGTGTTGGTTTTTATCCACAATCTGCAAAAAGCCAAAATAGGCCTCCCTTCCCTGTCTCCAAGCCCCTGTCCTTCTTGCCATTGGTAGGGAGAGTCTCTGGGTCCATTGGCCCTCAATGCAGATCCAGAGTGCTTCTGAGACACTGTGGGAAAGCCAGCCCCTGCAGCACCACACTCAGATGCACCTGGAGTTTGGAGGATTCTGGTTGGATGATAAATTCCAGCCAGGAGTACATCGCCTCGGTCCCATCCATATGCCTTCCCACAGCCTGCCTGCCACTCTGCCGGCCTCTTCCTTCACACAGGGATGGTGCTATAGAAAGGGAGGCAGAGAATCTTAGGACAAGATGTCAGGAATAAGGTGGAACCCCCTGTTGCATCTGCCATTTTTTTCCTATAGGAGGACTCGGAGGAGAGTGAAATCGACATGGAAGATGATGATGATGATGAGGATGATGATTTGGAAGATGAGAGCATTTCTTTCTCACCAACCAAGCCCAGTCCAAGGGTCCGGAAACCTGAACCCCTGGATGAGAGTGACAATGACTTCTGACCCTCTTGCCAAGGGACCCTGGCAGATTAAAACCCTCAGACTTGTAGGTAAATGGGAACTTAGAAGGTTAGGAAGGTAACACCTGTTTTGTTCACTAAGCTGGCTGGACTCATGATTACTGAAGCAATACTTATTTCTGCTTCAGCCTCCTATGTTTGCATTCCATGAAGCTTAAATAAGAATTGAAACAAATCCCTAAGATTTTTTTTTCACCTTATTTATCTCCTAAAACTTGAGGAATGCATGTGTTCTTAGTGATTCACATCCACGGGACAAAATCTCAAGGAGAAATAAGAGCTGACGCTACACAAGTCTTGGCTGCTTTTTTACTATACATTTTCTCCGAGAGTCCAGCAGAGTTGAGGCTAGAACTTGGCACTGGGAACTCATGTTCGGAATCGTAGGGGGACATCTGGCTGTTAATCACTTGCACAGTTGAGAACATTTCCTGTGCTTCGGCTTTTAATTCTAGCCCTTACTTCATTTTGTCATCTTTCTTTCTTCTGCATGTTCACAATACCAGACATTAAATGTATTTTAATTACTACAATTTTCTGAAAGAAGCTTAGCTAAAGTTAAATGAAAACTGGGTTTCCTTGAAAATCAGGTGATAGAGACAGGCTCCAGATGAGGAATCCTCCATTTTCTCTCCAAAGCTGATATTCCTCTGGGAGTCAAGTTCACCTTGGATTACAGCCACCTTCATGTTTCCACGGCTGGTACTAAATTTGGAAACTCTGGTGACCTGAGCTGCCCTCTTGGAGACTCCAGACTCCCGTGGCAATGACAGCCGGGACACTCTCCTTCCCTCCAGCCAGAGTTTCTCTAAAGGAGCTTTGTTTTGTCTAAAGTGTGGAAAGATATAGTGCACAACACAGGGACAAACAGGTTTCCTGCAGCTCGCTACCTAAGTGTTTCTGTAGGGGAAGGAGCCTATTAAGAAAAAGGTGTTGGTACAGATTCTTGTTTCTGACTTAAAAAAACAACAACACAGGATTGAATTAGGTACAGTAGTAGCACTAGAAGATTTTTTCTGTTGTGAAATTAGAAGTGGAGTTGGGTTTTTTTCTTTTTTCTTCTTCTTTTTTTTTTTAATATGAAAAGTACTTAGCTGGACATGGTGGCAAGCGCCTGTGGGCCCAGCTACTCAGGAGGCCAAGGTGGGAGGATCACTTGAGCCCAGGAGTTTTAGACTAGCCTGGACAACTAAGTGAGACTCCATCGCTACAAAAAATTTAAAAATTAGCCAGATGTGGAGGGGCATGCCTGTGGTCCCAGCTATTCAGGAGGCTGAGGCAGGAGAATCACTTGAGACCAGGAGGTCGAGGCTGCAGTGAGCTGTGATTGTGCCACTGCACTCCAGCCTGGGTGACAGAGTGAGACCCTATCTTAAAAAAAAAGAAAAAGAAGGCCGGGCACGGTGGCTCACGCCTGTAATCCCAGCACTTTGGGAGGCCGAGGCAGGCGGATCGTGAGGTCAGGAGATGGAGACCGTCCTGGCTAACATGGTGAAACCCCGTCTCTACTAAAACTACAAAAAGTTAGCTGGGCTTGGCGGCGGGTGCCTGTAGTCCCAGCTACTTGGGAGGCTGAGGCAGGCGAATGGTGTGAACCCGGGAGGCGGAGCTTGCAGTGAGCCGAGATCATGCCACTGCACTCCAGCCTGGGCAACTGAGCAAGACTCCGTCTCAAAAAAAAAAATAAAGGCACACTGCTTGTAAAAAGCATACAGTAGGCCAGCGCCTGTAATCCTAGCACTTTGAGAGGCCAAGACGAGTGAATCACCTGAGGTTAGGGGTTTGAGACCAGCCTGACCAACGTGGCGAAACCCCATCTCTACTAAAAATACAAAAATCAGCCAGGCGTGGTAGCACATGCCTGTAACCCCAGCTACTGGGGAGGCTGAGGCAGGAGAATCACTTGAACCTAGGAGGTGGAGGTTGCAGTGAGCCAAGATCACACCGTTGCACTCCAGCCTGGGCAACAGAGTGAGACTGCATCTCAAAAAAAAAAAAAAAAAAAGCATACAGTAAATTAAAAAGAAAAGCACAAAACAGTTTTCACTTATTTTTACAATTAAAAAGTCAGAAGACTTCTGAAGTTACTTTTAATAAATGTATTTAACACCATATTTCATATTAAATAGGTTTTACTTAAAAGCATAATTATTTTATTTGTACCTGTCAGATATAAATACTTATTCAGGAGTTCACAAGTATGAAAAGATACACATAAATTTTAGGAACTTTCGACAATTATTTCTGTCATTTTTGCTTTTTTCTGTTTCTTTTCATAAATTTTATGTATAAGATTACCCCTTTAAAAAAAAAAAAAAAAAAGGCCAGCATTCAGTGAATTCACCAGTAATTTGAAATGCACCATATTGTAAACGATCCGCTGACAGGGAAGCCAGCGTGTTGGAGCCATGCCAGCCACCTCAGACGCCGTGGTTCCAAGACGCAGAAGAGTCACTGCACCTTTTGGATGTTACGGATTTGGTTTGCCTGAATGTGACTTGACTTCTGTTTTGAAAAAACATACAAATAGAGTTCTGTTTTCCTTATGTGATGCTTTCTTCTAACGCACTTTAACACAGAAGCCTAACCTAGCTACAAAGAGCCCATCCACAGACATAGGCAACAGCTCCAAAGGGTATTTCATTGTGTCACCTGCTTCTAGATCATCTGTTAGTTAACTGACTTTGTGCAAAGTCTCACCATGTATAGCACTGCCTTGCTTGAGCAAGGAAGTTTCTGTCAACAACAAGCTGTTTGTACTCTATCGTGTTTACTAAAGTATGACCCATTGTAGTGGGTCATTACTAAAGTGGTGACCCATTGTAGAATGGATCCAGGAGTCACATGTGCAAGTGCTTTATGACCTGGCACCATTTGGTTTTGGCCAAGCAGTAGAGCAGACCTCAGGACCTAAGGATGATGGTTGTGATTAGGTCAATAAAAAACTAGCAGGCCATTGCTGATAATTTTTTACTATATAATTAGAAGACTTCCTCAAATGCTTTAAAAAATGTGTATTGATGGAAAATACAAAGGAATTTTTCAAATACTCGATTTTTATTGGTAGTAGTTATCAAGAACAAAGTCCTCGGACTTCTGATGGGAAATCTGAACGACTGTTTCTCTTTTAGCTTGGACAAGAAGAAACAGATCCCTCTCATTAGCACTTTAATATCAGTGTCACATGTCTGGAAGGAAATTGTATTCATTTAGGTAAGCAACACACTACATAAATATCACAGCTGTTAGACCCAGGGGACTCTCAGGTGCTAGAATTGAGGACTCCTTTAATTGGAAGGGAGCTAAAGGGTATACCTCCTACCTAGAAGTCCTTTCTGTGTGGATATGAATTAAATTGTCTTGTCTGTTTTGCTCTGATGGGGTCTGTGTGGGCTGGCTGGCTCTGGTGTGTCCCTGACGACAGACTGATCTCTTTAACCATTTCAGACAGCTTGAAGATGTATGAACATTATTTGAAAAGGGAGAGAGGGAGGACTGTTTGTTTTCTCCACCACTTTGGCTCCTGAGGTTTCTTCAGTGTTAGGTTTCTGTAGGGCCCAGCTTTCTCCAGCGTTTGGCTACTGCAACTCTGTTCTGCTAAGCTCTTAACTCAGACAGAAACAATGCAAACCGGCAGACAGAGCATCACCTTAAAAGTACTAAAACAGCTGTCAATCTAGAAGTCTATGCCCAGCAAAAACCGTCATAAATACTGCAAGACCAATGTTCAGATTTCCCCCCTTTTACAAATAATGTTTTGTTTTGTTTTATTTCCCAGCTACTACAAGTGATCCAAATGTTCTTTGTAACAGACTTTTTCCTCCAGTCTAGGATCCAGTCAAAGATCTTGCATTAAGTTATATCTCTGTAATCTTCAATTTCACACTATCTGCAACGTTTTGCATTTTTCGTGACATTGATGTTTTTTATGAGTTCAGGCCATTTATTCTGCAGAATATTTGTCAATTTGGATTTTTTTCTAATTGTTCCTTCAATGATTAGAATCAGGCAAACAGTTTTTGACAAGAATACATCAGACGACTCCGTGCTGCATCAGACTGGGGGCACGTGATGTCCACGTGTCCCATTATTGGCGATGTTCAATTCTGTCACTTCTGTTGAGGCTGCATTTGCCAGATTTCAGATTAAAGGTACCTTTTTCCCTTTGTAAATTAGGATATCACCTTTGTGGGGTGCTGTTTTGAGACTGCAAGGATATCATCTTCCCAAGTAGGCCTTCAGCCATGGCCTTAGCATCCATGTCAGCATCCTGTCCAGATGCTCACTTTTGAAGAAACATTTCAAATAGCGATTCCTTTCAAATTCAGAAGTGATCATTGCTTTATAGTCTTAATAAATATTTTCTGTGGTTATTTAGTTGATGAGAGCTGTGATGTCCATTTGGATTTTTTTCCCTCCAACACAAACAGCTGCAGGAATTGGTGCCACATAGAGGCTCAGCTTGCCTGTCTCCATGGAAGCTGTGGCCACAGCAGTGGCTTTGGAAGCCTAATAAGGAAGTGTAGTGGCTCACACCTGTAATCCCAGCACTTTGGGAGGCTGAGGCGGGCAGATCACTTGAGGTCAGGAGTTTGAGACTAGCCTGATCAACATGGTGAAACCCCATCTCTACTAAAAATATAAAAATTAGCTGGGTGTGGTGGTGTGTGCCTGTAGACCCAACTACTTGGGAGGCTGAGGCAGGAGAATCACTGGAACCCAAGAGGTAGAGACTGCAGTGAGCCAAGATCACGCCACTGTACTCCAGCCTGGGTGACAGATTCTGTCTCAAAAAAAAAAATAATAAAGAATGACATCACTGAATACATTGAATGTGTTATTGATAACCAGTGTGCCAGACTCCAGATAACATGTGCCAGGTATCACCCACGTCTTTGATTTTGTAATAAATAAAAAATGGGGCCAGGTGCGGTGACTCACGCCTGTAATCCCAGCACTTTGGGAGGCCCAGGCTGATCACCTGAAGTCAGGAGTTCCAGACCAGCCTGGCCAACATGGTGAAACCCCGTCTCTATTAAAAATACAAAAATTAGCTGGGCATGGTGGCAGGTGCCTGTAATCCCAGCTACTGGGGATGCTGAGGCAGGAGAATCACATGAACCTGGGAGGCAGAGGTTGCAGGGAGCCGAATTGCACCACTGCACTTCAGCCTGGGTGACAAGAGCAAGACTCCATCTCAAAAACAAACAAAACAACAGGCAGAATCCTTGGAGAACTCTATTGTCTCTGTTTCCAGAATGCTAGAATTAAAACTCATTTATCTTCACAATTTTCCTATAGTTTTTTCATGTCTGTAAGGATGATACCCTAAAACTTTCTTCTTGAAAAAATAAGGGTCCCCTCTGTCGCCCCTGCCACATGGATGCTCCTCACGAGCTTGAGATGGCAGCTTATCTCAGAGCATGGGATGATTTTTAACCAGGTGAGTGGAACGGGGCAGTAATAAACATTTTTAAAGGTAGGGGGCATATGAAGTACTCAGGGTATAAATAAGCTGGAACCAGCCTCCTACACTGCTGAGCTTCAGGCCTTTGTCCCCTAGTCCCTTGGTGGTGGCCCCCTCCCTCCTCTGTGC